TGACCCTTGAACAACATGGGAATTAGGGGCACTAACCCCCTGCACAGTCAGAACTTTGTGTAAACTTTAAAAAACAATTTTATGGATACATACTAGGTGTATAGATTTACAGGGTACATGAGATGTTTTGGTATAGGCATGTAATGTAAAATAAGGACATGGTGGAGACACATAACTTCCGACTTCCTGAACATTTGACTGCTGATAACCTGTTGACCGGGAGCTTTAATAGTAACCGTTGATTCACATGTAGTTTGTATATATGTTGTGTGTCAGATACTATTACAATAAACTAGATAGGAGAAATTGTTATTAAGAACATCATAAGGAAGAGAAAATATATTTACTATGTACGATGTGGAAGCAGATCCTCATAGAGGTTTTCATCATCTTCATGTTGAGTAGGCTGAGGAGGAGGAGGGGTTGGTCTTGCTGTCTCAGGGGTGGCAGAGGCAAGAGAAAATTGACGTATTTGTGGACTCATGAACTTTAAACCCGTGTTGTTCAAGGGCCAACTGTACTTTATTTTGGTCTGTATCTCCTTCACACGAACACACGCATGTACGCACACATATACGCATGCACACGCACACAGGTGGTTCATGAGGGAAGGGATTTCTGTCATTTCCATACCCCAACAATGAGACTCATGCCTGGCACCTTATAGGTCCTTCATAAATACTTGATGAGGGGATGACGGTAAGCACCAGAGCCTCGACATCTGTATACACTAACTCATTTGCTTCTCTAGACATTTCTAACTCATTTGCTTCTTCCCTCTTCAGGAAGCAGAGATAATGGTATTTGCAACTGTTGGAACCAAGGCTTAGGGAAGGGGCTGGGGCCGTGTCCATCCTGTGTTCCTGTTGTTGATCTTCATTGTCCTTGATCTCACCTGTTGCTTGGGAATGGGCTTTGAAGGCCCGTAAATAAGGGCACCCAGCTCTTTTAGGGATGGTGGCATTTTCAGTTGAAGTAAGTGAAAAGCCTCCTAATACTTTGAAGCAGACAGAGTCATTGGATGTAGAACTTCTGATGAGTTATACCCTAACTGATCATATTATTAGCATATTAATCTTCCATGATATTGAGCACAGCAAGTAAATTTGATTCCTTATCTTCTGGAATGCATTAGTGATAGTTTAATATCAGCCTTTATAACCCTTGAAAGGCTGAGGCTTAACCCATTTCCCATGACATTGTTCAGTGTCCTGTCTGTCACAGGAGAAAGACCTAATTCAACTCATGCTTTTTCCCCTTCGTTCTGTGGCTGCCTTAAAATTGGATGGCTGATTGCAGTCAGTATCTTTTGCTGTGACTTCATGTAGTTATTTCCTTCCCAATTCCTTTCCCCATTGCTTATCTCCTTTTGCTTAATCTGCACTTTGGTGTTCTATATACATGTATTTTAATTGTAAGTTAACTCATTTTGGGGGAGGGCAGGAATTAAGGCTTATATTGTAAATGAATCAAGAATTCTTATCACCATACCATCACCAGTTTATCATCTCTATGCATTATTTTATGATGATACCACATAAATTGATTTCTTTTCTGAAATAAACGCTCATTCCAAGAATGGCTTTTTATTTTATTTTTATTTTTGGTGGGCAGTTAATACCCTTGAGCTTCTGGATATTTTTACTAACATTATCAGACAAGTAAAGAAAGTGGGATACTTTGGTGGCAAAGTAGAGATAGCTGAGGCCAACCATAGGCCAAGGACTCACTCACCTAATGTATTTGCTCCCTTCCTCTACCCATACCCATCTCTTGTAGACTCGATAATTATTGAGTGTGTACCACATGGGTGTAGACCTATGGGTCCTACCCTCTAGTAGCTAGTAAGGAGGTGGGACACAGCAGGCCAAGTCGATTATAACATCCTACTTGCCTAGTGGAGGCATTGCCTTCTGGGAGTGGGTCTGTCCTGGAGTGTTAGGGACAACTTCCCACAGGTGTTGGCCCTGGAAGAAATCCCCTGGAAATGTGTTTTTTGTTATTGTTGTTTTGGGAGATGGAGTCTTGCTCTGTTGCCCAGGCTGGAGTGCAGTGTCATGATCTTGGCTCACTGCAGCCTTCACCTCCCAGGTTCAAGGGATTCTCCTGCCTCAGCCTCTTGAGTAGCTGAGATTACAGGCATGCGCCACCACACCTGGCTAATTTTTGTATTTTTAGTAGAGATGGGGTTTTACCTTGTTGGCCAGGCTGGTCTTGAACTGCTGACCTGAAGTGATCCACCCATCTTGGCTTCCCAAAGTGCTGAGATTACAGGCATTTTAATTTGTGGGATAAAGAGTCTGTAGGATGGAGGAAGAGCCTGCACTCTGTCCTGGGCAACAACAACAACAAAAAATAATAATAATAAAAGAAAATAGAAATGTAAACGCTTTTTCACTCTGATCACTCATCCCTACTTAATTTTTCTCCGTACTGCTTTTTAATATGGTGTATAATACGGTTATTTACAGTTGGCCCTTGAACAACATGGGAATTAGGGGCACTAAACCCCTGAACAGTCAAAACTTTGCCCGCCTCGGGCGAATTTTTATAGCACTCAAGGTGTAGATGTAGATGGTGAATTTGGGATGCTATAACTGGAGTTGGGGCTGCTAAAGTGGAGAGGAGCCAGATCATAGGAATTGAGTAGCACAATTGCTGTGAAGTCATTTCAACGGCTTTGAGCAAGACATGCTGGATCAGACTTTGGTTTTCTCTCTGTTTATGTGGACACCTGACATTTGATAACAGGGCTTGCGAGTGCAAATCCATCTACCTGACCCCTGGATGACCCTCATTTATCCCCAGTCCTTTGATCCCACCTCTTCTTCCTGCTGGTGTCTTCAGTGCTGGCCCTGCTCTGCTCAAATCTCACCTGCCCTAGAAAGTTTCCCCTGACCTTTCCAAGTCTCAGGAATTCCCTGCCTTCCCTGACTGTCTTTGCCTTTGTTTTCTGTGTTAGTGATTTAAAGGGAGGAGCTGATTTCCGATCTCAGCCTTATCATCAAGTAGATTTGTGATGTCATGTGTATCATGTGATTCTTCTGGGTCTTATTTTCTGTGTCTATAACATGGACATGATAATACTTTCCAGACAAAGAAGATAAATGGACACACATTTGTATTCTTCCTCAAGCAAACACGAATTTGGTCTTGATCACCTTCCTCTTAAACAGCATTCATGGTGGGGGTTGAAGCCACAGGGCTCTTGCAAGCTGCTGCATCTCTCTCCACGTTCTGTTGTCCACCTTCACTGACATTGCTGTAGGGTGGGGAGACAAACAAGGCACTAGATACACTCTTTTTTTTTTTTTTTTTTGTGAAATGGAGTCTTGCTCTTTTGCCCAGGCTCGAGTGCAGTGGTGCAATCTCAGCTCACTGCAACCTCCACCTCCTTGATTCAAGCAATTATCCTGCCTCAGTCTCCTGAGTAACTGGAATTACAGGTGTGCGCCACCACATCCGGCTAATTTTTGTATTTTTACTAGACATGGTTTCACCATGTTGATCAGGCTGGTCTCGAACTCTTGACCTTGTGATCTGTCCATCTCGGCCTCCCAAACTGCTGGGATTACAGATGTGAGCCACTGTGCCTGGCCTAGATACACTCTTACTTTGCTTGGTTTAGCAAAGTATTAGCACCTTTATGGGCCCTGGTTTCCTCATTTCGATATATACAAGGGTAGTATCTACTATCCTCTTTCATGTGAGAATTGAATCAGATGGTGAATGGATCACCCACTGTTCAATGCCCAGCCTCCAATAGGCACTAATTAAATGGGCTTAATGAGACCAGCTCAGGCTGTTACTAGATGTCATCCCTTGGTACAATCTGACTTTTCTTGATTCTTGTTAACAGCCCTATAACAATATTATCATAAGAAATAGAAAACATCATTTTCTTCAAGGACCAATTTGGAGCCCATCCATAACTGTCTTCCAACTCCTGCTGGCTTCCCATGTCACCTTGACCTTCAGGGAGCCTTCTTTCTGCTGTCGGCATTGACCCATCTGTGCTAGCCATGACAAACTCATTCTCCTCACCTGGCTTTTCCGCACCTACTCACATCTCATCTCCAGACCTTTATCATCCATATTGCCTTGCTTTCTCATTCCTTTGCCACTTAGTAGGTATTGATTTCTGTTAAGATGATCATCAGGATTTATTGAGCAGAGAGGTAAACGTTGACGCTGGCTGGGAGGCATGATCCGAGTGTGGGGGGAGTTCTGTTCCTGTACCCCAATCCCCCTAGCCCTGCCTGCTGCCTGTGAAGTTAGCTGGAGTCCCAGTGTGGTGTCCCATCTGTGCAGTAGGGAAATTGCCCACCTTGGGCCTGGCCAAGCAATGGACGCTTCACAGATCCACCACGTTAAAAGGGGACTTGCACATCTGGTATTAGAATACTTCCAGCCTTGGCTCAGTGCTTGGCACAGGTGGATGTTCACAGATATTTTTAGAAGCAAGGAAAGGAGGAGGGGCATGCCAAATTTGGCACCTCCTGCCTTGGCTGAATAAAGGGGAAGGAATTTAGGATCTGTATGGTGAACATTTCCATGTGTTTACGAGTGTTTCTGTAAAGCCAGTATTTCCGCTGCAGGAAAAAATTTGTCCAGAAATTTTTTTTTTTTTTGGAGACAGAGTCTCACTCTGGCTGGAGTGCAGTGACGCGATCTCGGCTCACTGCAACATCCACCTCCTGGGTTCTAGTGATCCTTTTGCCTCAGCCTCCTGAGTAGCTGAGACTGTAGACATGTGCCACTACGCCTGGCTAATTTTTATATTTTCAGTAGAGACAGAGTGCAGTGGTGGGATCTCAGCTCACTACAATCTCTGTCTCCCTGGTTCAAGCGATTCTCCTATCTCAGCCTCCCAAGTAGCTGGGATTACAGACGCCCGCCACCACGCCCCACTAGTTTTTGTATTTTTAGTAGAGGCGGGTTTCTCCATGTTGGGCAGGCTGATCTGGAACTCCTGACCTCAGGTGATCCACCCACCTCAGCCCCCCAAAGTGCTGGAATTACAGGTGTGAGCCACCGTGCCCGGCCCCATGTGTCATTTCTTGGCAGAGCTTGGATTAGGACTGCATTTCATCCATTCCCTGTTCTTTTCCGTATTTCCCAGTTTTCGTCTCAGTCTGGCCGCCTATCTGTTGCATTCTGCCCATTGATCTGTTTCCCTGTTGGCTTCCCTTGTTTGTGCTGTAGAATGTTGCTCCCCGTGATCTCTTGGGCAAACTGATTTCCAGGGCCCAGTTTCCTCAACTGGAAAAAAAAGAGCAATTGTGAAGATTAAATAAGATGAGATACTCATAAGCGCTAGATTTTGGGGGCTTTATTTTTTCAAGTGCTAGATTTTGGGGGCTTTATCCTTTATTACAGGAAGGGGGTTGTCTTCTGAATTGTATGATGTTTGGCGGCTTTCCTAACCTAACGGGTACCAGCAGCATCCCTCCCCTGATAAGTGACTACAAAAGCGTCTCCAGACATTGCCACCTGTCTCCCGGGCAGGGGGACAAATTGCCCCTGGCTGAAAAGTACTGGCAAACAGTAAGCAATTATTAAATACTGTTAAAGCACAGTGTTGTTATGACGATTTTGCAGTTACTTAATTTATCTGCAAAGTGTTCATTTAGTGCTTACTGTATGTGCTGCAGAGTGCTGAGCCCTGAGAGGCCAGTGAAAAATGTAAGCCTGATGTTCTTGCTTTCTAGGAGATTATGATGGGGTTCACAGTCACACTCCCGAGGACGGGCTTCCGCGGTAGCTTTGAAGCTTTTGTTCCAACCTAAATTTAGCAAAAGGACAGTTGGGAGGCTTAATAGGCACATCTGCGTGCTCCCAGAACTTCTCCCTGGGTTTGTGGTACCCCCTACCCTGCCCCTTTTGATTACCAGTAAATGCAGCAATGGCGACAGGTAATGACCTTGTTGGTTGGTCCTCTAGTTCCTGATAAACCCACAACTGGGAGGGAGTGTCTCTGAATCAGAGCAGCTGGCTCTTTGAAAAGAAAGGCACTATTGCCTGGTTGCAGCTGCTGACCTTTGCATTCAGAATACCGCCCGAGGGCAATGGGCAGGTCACCACCCTGTCACCTCTGTGCTCCTGCCTCACAGACCACATCCTGGGATTCTTCCCTTGCCTCATGCGGTAGCAGGAGGATGTCACAGTGCCTCTGCTCAGACCCACCATCACACCTGACCTCTGGCCTTCCTGGAGCTTCCAAAGCCACTCAGCCCTGTCCTCCCAGCTCCACCTCCTGTGGGGCCAGCCCTTGGGTCTTCTCTCGCTCATCTTGCACACAGCTGCTCTCCTTACTGTGCCCACTGCCTGGCCCCTTCTGGGACTGCTCTTTCCACGGATCCCTCGTAGCCCCTTGACTTCCTGTAGGTCTTTGTTCACATTTCACCTTGTAAGAGTCAGGACCCTCCTCCCCCCACCCCACCTTTCCTTCCTTCATTTCCTTCACAGCTCTGATCGCTATTTTGTGGCTGTTGAGGCTGTCTCTTTTCTGTGTTCTCCAGACAGACTGTAAACTCCCTGAGAGCAGGTGATTGGTTGGTTGTGTTCAGTGTCCTTAAAAGTGCCCAGCATGTCCCAGACACTCAGTAATAATTGGCGAATGAATGAATGGATGAATAAATGGATGAACAGAGGAAGGAGAAGTTACCATGACTGTTAAAAGTTGACAAGTGCATGCATGCAGAGCCTTTGTTCACCATTTTCTGGGGGGGTTGGGTCTCCGGTACCATAGCCTGCGGGCATGGCTGGGTGAAGTTTGGTCTATGTTATCGACTCTTCCTCCTCTACCTAGAGATAATTCTCTCCTGAGGAATGAGCCCACCAGGGCAGACAGAGGAGAGTGTGAAGTTGACCCTTACGGAAGTCTGTGTGTGAGAGCCAAAGACTCCCACTTCCACCTCTGCCCCCACAGCATCATCAGTCCAGTCAAGAAAGACCGTGGTCATTGTGTTCTGGGACTCAGTCCTATGTTGTCTGTGTGCCTCTGCTTTTTCAGCTCCGTGTCATGCTGTCTTCCTTCACCCTCCCCATCGGATGCATGCCGAGTTGTTAAGAGGACAGAAAATATGTGTTCCTTTGCTGAGGCTTCTCTGTGGTTGTCTTCCACTCTGCGTCATGCGCCGTATCCGCTTGACACCCCGGCACGCTCTGTCACCCACGCAGCCTCTCGTTCCTCAGCCTGTGTTTCCTTGCACACTCGTGCTCTGCTGGCCTCTGTCACTCTCACTGGGCATCCTGCCTGCCTTCCCAACCCCCTGCACGTGTCCCTGTTGGCACTTCCCTGTTCACACTCTCCTCTCCACCCATCTTCCCTTTACACTTCCTCTTTCAAACTGTGCAGCCTTCTTCTGCTGACGGTTCAACATGGTTCCGTTTGAAGCAGGGAACTGGTTTGGTTGGCGCTAGCTCCAAGTTTGTCTTTATGGTATTTCTAGCCTTCCTTGTTTTGACTACAGCCAATAAAGGCTGGGCTCAGTGATGAATCCCAATTGGGATGGTGGACCACTGGGCCCTTCTCAGGCTAGGGGTAGTATAGGGAGCTGTGTGAATGAATGAGGTCCCCAGAAAGACCATCACACATGGGTAGTGGGAGAAAAAAAGGGGGCTCGGGATGCCTGTGTGGATGGCAGGATCCTGAAATATAGGAGCTTTTCTCTAAAGTACAGCATACATTTTATCTTCCAACACTGTCTTAGTCATTTTCCAAATTCCTTGTCCCTTTTCCCTTTTACCACGATTCCTTGATTAACTGCATATGACCCTTACCCAAATCTGCCTGATATCAGAGCGTGTGTGTCTATGGGTAAGGTTTTTGGAATCAGCAAGCACCTTTTCATTCTTGTTTCCACTCATCACCTTGCAGTACCTCAGTAGACACCATCGATTTCCAAAGCATCTGTAGACATGAACTGATTCTAGAATTTCTTTGCCCATCACCCATATCCCAGAGCTATTTCCTGGGAGAAAGATGGCATGCCTCCCTTTGTCCCTGGACCCTGAAGGCTGTGCCCTTTCACTGTGAACCCAAATCTGGGCTTGTTCTGCAGCCAACCTAGAAATTCACAACTGCGTTTTCTATTTTATAAGAGCTTCGTAAAGTTCTTTTCAAACTAGAAACTTCTCTTTCTTGTAATTGTCTCTAATGGCTGCCTTGTTGGAACAAGCCTTTGCTAGCTCCTGTCTGACCCCTTTGACTTTGCCTTTTGCCTCCTTTTATCCTCCAGCCTTTCGTATAGATTCCAGAGGAATCTTCCTCAAAGGCTGTGCCACTCCCCGTTCAAAAGCTTTCTGTGGCTCTTCATTGCCTAGAAAGCAAAGGGGTAAGGCCAGATATTGTTAGCAGCTCACTAACCGCCTTCTAGGATCTTGCTCTAATTTCCCTTTACAACTTCATCAAAACAGCTCACCCCCAAGCATTGACTTCAACTGCCACTCGCAACCCCAATCAGCAGTATATTCGGGCCGCGGCCATGGGAGTTGGTTTCACAAATGCATGTGTTCCTTTTCTGTCTCTGAGCTGATAACTCATGCAGGGTCCACCGCCGCCCTCCTAGACCTACTCATCTTTTCTGTAGAGTCCCTCTTCACTGTTCCTTCTGTTCTGTGTGATCAGGATTATGTTTTTGTCTTTGGTCTTGCTGTTATACTTCCCGCCATTGGGTGACTCAACTATAACATGCCTTCTGCTGTGACTCTGTTGGATGTTTTTGTGTGTTCATTCAGTTCTAAGGGCAGGATTGATGTACTTCCCCCGTAAGTGCACGTTGGTTCCATGCCCATCATAGGTGCTCAACCCGTTTTCATTCATTTGAAGTACTTTTACTGTTGTATTTGTCACAATATTTGTTACTGTTACTTTTGTTAATCACCATATCATTGTCCTTAGTGTCTTCATAATGATATACAGTTGACAAAGTAGTTTCTTATCCAAGGATCTCCATTGTGGTTCTCACTGCTGCCTGTAAAACAGTACAACCAAGACAAAAATAAAGAGTACAAGAGTATGGGGGTTGCACATGAGGCTTGTATGTTCTTGCTTAGTACTCAGACCAGTCAGGATGCACCGTCCAGAGCTTCTGTGAGAACTTCTTTATCCTTCTGTGCCACTTAGGACCTTTAACCTGCACCATTTAATAAGCTTAAAAGGAACACCACATGCATTTACTATGTGGCAGCTCTGATTCTTCTGGTGACTTTATAAGCTGCCCTTCAACTGGGGGCATGGATTTGCCTTAGAAGATCATCTTTAAAGACACTTGCTGAGAATGTTCACAAGTGTGTTGCCTCTTTATGCTCACAGGTGTGCGTACTGTCTTGTTCTTTGCTTTTCTCTGCTTCACCCAGACATTGAGGGTAAATGGGTGAATTTCTGTGTGGTATGAATTGATAACAGTCCCTGCGATTATCAAGCATGGTACCCGTAAGAAACTTGCACATTCAAATTCTCACCGAATCATCTTAATAAACCTGTGGAAACAGGAATTTTTGCCCATATTCTTTGAATGAGACTACTGCAATTCAGAAGGAATGTTTGTTTTGCTCTGGTTTAATGTCTTGTTCAAGGTTGTACAGCTGGACAGCCAGGATTCCAATGGAGAGCTAGCAAGTCTAAGTTCAGCCCTCTTCCCCTCCACACACCTGATTCCAAGGTCACTTCTACATAGATAACCTCCATAAATATTGTAGCAGCTTCAGATTATAAAGCTCAGTTTTGTTTAATTGACACCACACTGTTGAATTCCACTTCCTTTGCCTCTATCTTTGTTTTCCGTCAAGAAGATTTGGTTTACTTTAGTGCTCTAAAATTCTGGTTTTCTTTCACTTCCCCAGGAGTCCCATAAACTAAGAACAAAGGCACACACCACCACAGCTGGCTAATTTTTAAAGTTTTTTTGTAGGCATGGGGTCTTGCCTTATTGCCCAGGCTGGTGTCGAGCTCCTGGGGTCAAGGTGATCCTCTTGCCTCGGCCTCCCGAGGTACTGCGATGACACATGGGAGCCACTGTTCCCAGACCTGGTCACTCATTTTAAAATGTTGAATATCAAGGAAGAAGAGTAAACAAATACATGAATTGATCATTTATGCACTAAGAAACTTTAACCTGGAAAAAAAAAAGCCTAAAACAGAACCACCAATTAGGTAATCAAGAGTGCCAAGCTGGTTTGCTGTGTCCAGCTGTGTGTGCTGCCTTGTGTGTTTCAAATAAACCACCAGTGACCACGGAATGAATGAATCCTGAGCTGTGATTGATGTGCTTCCCAGTAGCCCGAGATGGTTCCCTGCCTTTATGTGCTAGTGGAATAGCAGGGGGAATTCCTAGCTAAAGGCTGTTTAGGGATACATTTTAATGTGGTTCCAGAAGGGAGTGAAAATAGCCCTCTCATTTTTCTTTATCTGATCCTGGGGGAGCTGGGACTTTTTTTTAAACCAACTCTATCTGTTCCTTTAATAATCATCTGAATAGCCAAACCTTCTGAGACTGTTATGGATAATCCTTCTCTAAGCTGAATCTATTTTCCCTCATCTGTAGATACATCTATCCCTCTCCTTTTTTTTTTTTTTAAATAAAACTGATAAATTATAGGAAAGTAGATATGAAATGAAGCGGTGAGCTGCTTCTTAACACATCTTAGCCCTCAAGGGGTGGGATTTTGCTCTCAAGATGGAGAGGTTCCATAAAGGGGCGATTTTTCAGAACAAACAGACAACAAATTAGCCACAGGATAGGCAATTTAGGTGCCTTTTGAAGTGTAGCTGTCATCCTCACCGTTGATAAATGCTCACGGTATATCTTCTGTGAGTACAAAGGCAATGCAGGGCAAATTCCTGAAGGCACAGGGGCCACACCATGGAAACATAATTTAAATTTCGCTCTGGTTGAGGCTGTTGAAGAATGCTGGGGGTCACGCTTGGTTTTTCCTCCCTGTGTTGTTGCCTTTGCTTTCTTTCATAGAGACTAGTAGATTAGTGGCTTTTCTTGCTGGCCTCAGCAAGGTGCATGCTACCCACATGTACACACATATACACATACGCTCGTACGTGCTGTCCACATGTGTACACACGTCAGGGTGCATGCTGCCCACAGGTACACACACACACACACACACACACACACACACACACGTGCACGCTCTGTACCCCTCACCCCTCAATTTCTGTGACTCTAATTACTGTTTGTTTTCTCCACTTCTCCACCCATTTCTTTGGTCTCTTGACTACATTCAGAGTCAAGGAGGGGTTTCCTGATGAATTTCCACTGATGATGGAGTAGACTGTGTGACTCCCTCCGTTACCCCATGGCTGGACCTGCCTCATAGCCAGTGAGTCCCTGGCCTCAGTGAACATGCCCTTCTTGTGCTGGTCTCCTCTAGAAGCCTTCGAGCCTGTGATCCATCTGCTCCTGCCTTCCTGAAGCCTGCTTAGATGCTCTGTGGAGGGCCGTTTCTCCCACTGAGGCTGACACCTTTACTGACTCAAGGCCATTCATTTCCAGTGTCAGGCCTGCCGTGCAGGCTCCAGCTTCCCTGTCCAGGCAGGGTTTGCCCTCTTTTCAGCTCCTCCCCAGGGTTGTACCAAATGGGATAGTGGCAGCCCTTAACACTCTCCAGACTCAAACTGCCTGGGGTTGAATCCTGGCCTTAGCTCTAGTTGTTGGGGGGTTTGGGGCAAGTTACTCCACTTCTCTGGCCTTCAGTTTCCTCCTTTATAAAATGGCACACCACTCAGTATGCAGCACACTTGAGCTCTTACCTTTATTTTCTGAAATCTGGAGAAGATAATGTAATTTCTGTTTGAAACCCATATTTCTAGGCCAGTGATAGTGGCTCACGCCTGTGATCCCAGTACTTTGGGAGGCTAAGTCAGGAGGATTCGTTGAAGCCAGGAGTTTGAGAGTGGCCTATGCAACACAGCAAGACTCCGTCTCTGCAAAACAATAAACAATAAAAATTAGCCAAGCATGGTGGTGGTCACTTCCAGTCCCCGCTGCCTGGGAGGCTGAAGAAGGAGGATTGCTGGAGCCCAGAAATTTGAGGCTGCAGTGAGCTGTGATGACACCACTGCATTCCAGCCTGGGTGATAAAGCGAGACCCCAACTCTCAAACTCTTACTCTTACTTTTCCCTTCAATGTGCTCTTTCCTTTTAGTCTGGTCTCACAGGTGTTTCTGCTCATATCATTTGGCCATAGGTAGCAGGCAGTTTTCCTGAACAGCATCCTACGAATTAGTCAGCTGTGGGCAGCTCACCTAACTCCAGTAAGGAGGTTGGCCTCATTCCTGGTTTCCAGGGTATCTTTCAGGCCCATGTTCTGTTCAGTATTTTAGGACGCATTTAAATCAGAGTGTGATAAATTCCAGATTGAGACGTGGTGTGGCAGAGTATTTTAACACGGGTTAGAACCCTTGAAAGAGACCAGTCCATTCTGACCTTTGAGTCTCACTTCTGCCCTGTGTCCTATCCTGCTACAGAACCCCTGGAAGCCTTGGCTCTGGCAGGTTACAAAACGTGGGAGCCTGGTGGCCACACCTTGCGCTTGCACAGCTCCTGACTCAGCAGGACTCCTCTCTCTCTTGCCTTGCTTCACCTTGTTCCCCTGGGAAACTGCTGCACCTCTGTGGGATTAAGCTGGAGCTCGGTCTTTGTCACCCTGTAAGCACCCCTCTAATACCTGGCCCACTCTTGCTTGCTTGGGATCTGTATCCGGCACAGTTTCTTACACACAATAGGGCACAATAAACAATGAGCAAATGATTTCCTACCGCAGAGTTTGGAGTAGTTTGCTACCAAAGGTCTGTTCTAGCTGTGTGATTTGTTGCTTTGGAAATTTCTGGCAGTTTTAACTGGCCTTTTGAGAAGAAACATCATACAGCATTTATTTGTACTCTAATACCCCTTTTTCACAATAATGACTTCCCCTTGAAATGCGTTCCTTGTTTTAAAGAATTTAGCCATTTGCCTCTCTAGCGTGTAGGACCACCCCATTGCCCTTGGATCAGTGTATCTGCCATTGGGACGATCCTTCCTCGATTTATTCGACTCACATCACAGCAGAGCCGTGGGAATGTTATGAATTCCTCAGGAATTTGCATCATTCTATTCCTCTGCTCAGAAAAACCAAATGAGTGCCTGGTGCCCATTGTGTCGGGGCCAAATGCTTCTAATTAAAAGGACCTTTGGTGGTCCTCCAGGAGCTCTCCCTCCGCACCTGCTGCTGTCATTCCCATTCTCCTTCCTCTGGCCAGCCAGGGACGAGTTGTCCCTTTCCCCTTGACACACAGTATGGCTTCCAAGCCTTTATTGCCACCGTTCTTCCCGACTTGCTCAGCTGCCTGGCCGGTTCATCACCATGGGCATGCTTTAGACCGTGACCTAGCCGTTTTCTGGAGACAAGGCTTCCAGTTTTCATTTTTGATCTGATTCTTTGATTGACCGATTCAGTCTCTTCTCTTCTGAGATTTTAGTCTTTAAAACCTTTCCCTAGACTGGTTATTCCTCAAAGGCTTAACACTGAATACAATTTGTATTACATTATTCTGCATTCTTAAGTTTTTCTTTTTTTTTTTTAATCTCATGAATTGCTTGTAACTGCCTTGCTGTCGTGAGCTATTGTCTTCTGCTCTTTGGAAATGGCCTAGGGTGGTTCTTGGCTTGTATAGCTACTCAGACAGACATTTGTGGGAACATAGGCAGCAAGGACAGTGGAATTACACGGTGATGATGAAGTTGTCCTTTTTTTTTTTTTTTTTTTCCATCTAGCCAAGGTCTGATGAGAGAGGAAAGTACTCCAAGTAGTATTGGCCAGTTGGGCAGGGTGGCTTACACCTGTAATCCTAGTACTTTGGGAGGCTGGGGTGGGAGGATCGTCTGTGGTCAGGAGTTCAAGACCAGCCTGGCTAACATGGGGAAACCCCATCTCAACTGAAAATACTAAAATTATCTGGGTGTGGTGGTACCTGCCTGTAATCCCAGCTATTCGGGAAGGTGAAGTGTGAGAATTGCTTGAACCCAGGAGGCAGAGGTTATAAGCGGAGATCACGCCTCGCACTCCAGTCTGCTGGGTGACAGAGCAAGACTCCGTTTCTCTCTGCCTGCCTGCCTCCCTCCCTGTCTCTCTCTCTCTCTCTCTGTCTGTCTCTCTCTCTCTCTCTCTCTCTCTTTCACACACACACACACACACACACACACACACACACACACGTGTATTGGCGTTAATTATAAAGGGAAAGTTTAAACGGTTCCCAGAGCTTTCTGTGATTTTGTGCCTAGGCAAAGCCCATTATTGTCGAGGACAACTTCCTATCCCTGCCTTGTTTTGGTTGGTGGTGCTGCTCTGACATGCTGGCTGGGTTGGAGGAAGATACACTGAAGAGATCGAAAGTTCTGGTTTAGATCTGATGCAGTGCTCCGCCGTGGGGCAGTGACCCCACTGTCACCTCCTAGAGCAGAGTCATGAAGCTTAAAGCTGGGAAGGGCCTTTTGAGGTTCCTCAGACTGCTTTGTCCATCCATCCATCCGTTCATGCATTCAGCAAATATTTATCAGGAAATTACTAAGTACGAAGTTTTATACGAAGCACCACGGAGAGTCCCCAAGACAGCATGCAGTCTGAGTCGGAGAGCCAGCGTCAGTTAATTGGGGACTCACTGAAGAGCTTTATGATCATATAGTTGAATGGCCTTTAATGAAGGATTTTAAACACCTTTCTTAAGATTTGTGAATATTAAGAATTTAAGAATTAAAATGGGGAATAGGTAGCTCTAAACTACCATGCCATCCGGACTGCCCTCAACAGAGGAGAATGAGTTATGGAGGAAGGCACTACTGCCTCACCAACGATGAGTTCAAATCTAAGTGCAGTCTTGGCGTTCATTCAGTGTAAAACACTAGTAGGGTTAAAGCTGGACATGCTACATAGGAGTCCCAGTCCCACTCTTTTTAGGTCTGTGACCCTCTGGTAAGTTACTTCACCGTGCTCAGCCTTGGCTCTCTTACTTCTAAAATAGGGCCTGACACCAGAAACCTCACAGGTCTAGGCAGCTTCGTGGAGTGGTGGGATTGTGTTTTCAGGGTCTTGGTCTGGATTTTAACCCTAGCTCTGGTAACAGTCGAGTGGTGTGTTTTCTGAGAAGTCACTTCCTGTGTGTTTCGCTCAGTGGTTTAAAAGTGGTAGACTGTGATGGGTGAATTGTGCTCCTCGATTTCCAACGTTTATTGAAGCCCTAACCCCCAGTACCCAGGAATGTGACTATTTTGGGATAGGGTCTTTACAGAGGTGATTAAAGTAAAATGAAGTCATTACGGTGGACCCTAGTCCAGTCCGATGTCCCTGTAAGAAGAGATTAGGACACAGACACAGAGGAAAGGCCCCGTGAAGACACAGGCAGAAGACGGCCACCTGCAGGCCAAGGAGAGGCCTCAGAAGAAACTAACTGTGCCAAAGCTTTGATACCAGACTTCCAGCCTCCAGAAGTATAAGAATGAATTTCTGTTGCTTCAGCCCCACAGGCTGGTATTCTGTTGCGGCTGCTCTAGCAACATAGTATGATGACAGTCACCTGAAGAGATGAAATGCCACAGGCAGG